TTGAGGCTGCCTGAATGGCAATGACAGCTTTTCTGTCACTGTTTGCAAAAAGAGATTCTGACAAGAGACACAGGAGGACAGGAGGGGAGATGACAGGAGACAAAATGAGACAAGATTATACAACACAAGACAACCTGAGAAAACACCAGGGCTGAGTGTGTTTGAAATCTTTAGATACTAGTACTGACATGATAGCAATTTGGTACTGATACCAAAACGACACCTTTTTCAATACCATAACACCAACTTTCAGTGCCTTTCAGTTCAGAAAAGTTCTGAGATGAATCAAGTGTGTGGATCAGTGTCTACATACCCACACATGGCTGAGATCTCAGATGTTTTATCAGACTCAGGACATTTCCAGCAGTCTTAATGATCATATACTGACTCTCCATCACTTACTGTGCCTTTACTTCACAAACCACCCAATCATTTCCTTGCACCACTTAAATCCACCAATAATAGGCTCACTCATGCCAAAATAGCTGGCTTGAACCGGCCAGCTCAGCAATAGACCATAATGTGTATTAGCAGACTTCACTACTCTATAAAAAGCAATTACACCAGGAGCTTTCAAACTGTTATTATTCAGTGTTAAATAATATATTAATCTTATGACTTTGCCTTTCAATAAACTCTACAATGTTAAAAAAAATAGGTTTGTTATAAATTATAATTATAATGTATTTCCTCCTTTCACTGCAGATACCACCTAAGATTGAGGTCAGTAGTTCCGACACATAAAGTGAACAAGGTGAAGTAATTGGGCATAATTTAGGAAGAGTCAAGGACTATAATTATTAGCTAAAATTATGTCTACTACTGCAAGAACACCTCTCCTCAGATTCACTATACTTATATAAATATATTGACTGTAAATCTGTCAGAGGAGCGCTGAAGACCATGAATGTCTCACAAATGCATTATATATATTATATGCAATTTATTGTGTATTAGCATAAAGAGACAGTGTGGAACTCACTGTAGTTACACATTCACGCAACATGGCTTCAGCCCGGCGAGCTGGTGCTACCAGATTTGGATTTGGTATTAAGATCTTCTGTTACTACTGCTGCTGTGTCTACCACTGTTCCAGCTGGACCCCTCGTTTTTATTTTTGTCCTCACCAGAAGACTTTGATGTAGCCAACAACACAAGGCAGTTGCAGGCTTGCCCCTGCCTGAAACAGAAACACACTTGAACTCAGCGCTGCACACAAATGTGTGTGTATTCACTGCAGCTATACTTTATTTGCATAAAAGCTCAGAAAAATTAAAGTGGTAATTGTAACCCAAGGAAAATGGAAATACTGTTGGCATGAATTACAACAACAAGTGCTTTGGCAAAATAGCAACAAAGGTGGTTAAGCGAATTTAAGGATTATAAAAGATTTAATTGGTCGAAAACATTTAGATATCCTCTAACAAGCTCCAAACCATCCATATGACATACAGTAAACACTGCACTAGAAAAATAAAATAAATCCACTTTTCCATGAGACAGCTAATCATGTTATAGACCAAATCCAGACAGTTAGAGAATGGTGGAGAACAGACCTTTTTCACAGCAGCCATTTTGACATGAGATACGGTAAACACGGTATTACCAATTATACTAATTAAGGTGCGTTTCATTTAGTGTAGCAGAGCCTCTCCAGTGAGGCAACGTGTACAACAGCAGCACCCTGACTCTGTTTGACCTGAATGGAACAGAACCTTAATCAGTATCATTGGTAACACCTGTGTTTATCCTACTATTTCATGTCCAAATGGCTGCTGTGAAAAAGGTCTATTAGTCTAGCTCATCTGGCAGAGCTGCTTACAAACCTCAGTCTGAAGCCAATGCAGTGTGTAATTTATTCCACACATATGTCCTTTTGTTTCTACAAACCATCTAAATTTTTTTTTCCATTTCTATTGCATGTCCTGCCTCAGTAGACATGGACTAGAATGCAAGTGTCTCCGTCTGCATTACACTTATCTTACAACACATTACAGTCCAGTTATTAGGAGTGTGATTCTGCAAAATAATAAATCACATCCCATTTTCCTTATGTTTCCAAGATAAGCCACCTGAACTTTGACTGTTCGGCTCCCCTGCCAACAAATGGACGCTCATACATTATGCAGGAGGGAGCAAGTGGCTCATCAGGGATGCAGAGTGAAACATGGCAGGCAGAGGAGAACAGCGGAGAGGAGGAGTCATGGGTGAGGGCAGAGGGAGAGGGTGGGGGGAGATAGAGAGAGCTATGGTTGAGGCAGCACAGGGTCATTCACCGCTCCAGAGACAGAGGAAGAAAAAAAAGAGAAAGAGAGAAGCGTGGAAGAAGAATGAGGAGTTCATGACTCAATGAGAACTGAGAGGAGGGGGTGAGATTGACTGAGTGACAGAAAATACTAAAATGTCTTCTTGTTCCCGTCCTTTTTTCATTCGAGTATCAAGTGAGCTCCATCTGTTTTACAGGTGACATTAATCTCCATATACTATGAAATTATGTTAATCTGATGCCATCACTGGCCACCAGATTTGAATCCTTTGTTATCATTTACATCCTGAACATGTGTGCTGTAACACTGGCACTTTCAAAACCTAAAAAGATGAGGAGGAGGAAGAGATGGAAAGGCAGCCGTGGCAAGGGAATGAAGGTAAATATTATGCTAGCTCGACAATGTAATGTGTGTAATTTCAAGTCATATTCTGATTAGCCGGTTTGTAAACGTGGGTCGTAGCATCATTCACATTTTAGTACTACATTTTCAGAACTTTGAAGCAGCCTGTTCACCAAAGCTCTAAATATGCCTTCATGGTCGTGTTACACAGTATGATTTAAGACCACCTATTATGATTGACGACCAGTGATTTCAGCACAACAGTCATCTGAGACAGGCAAAACTTGCACAGTGTAAAAGGGACCACTGAGCACATCACAGTCACAACTACAGTACCTTAAGGCTTTCCTCCACCTTCAAATGTAGTAGTACGGTTGTTTTGCAGTTTGAAATTCATTTATTTAGAACCACATTTCTCTAATCTAAGGTCTTGCTGTCTGTGATATTAAAAGGTTTGGTGCCAGAGACGGGAGGAGAGAAATGACTAACAAAGAATGGAGGAGGAAAGAAGACACAGTGGGACAAAAGACAGCCGATGTTGCAGGAGACAAATTACGACCAGCAGGTTTCCCTGTGTGATAGGGTAGACAATACGCACACACACATAAACACAACAGCAGCTCCTGCATTCGGTTGGTAGCATTGCTTGAAATATGAAACATAAATGTCACAGCCTTTCCCCCTATCCATTGCTCCTCATCTCCCCTCCTTTCCCTCCCACCTCCCACCTCTATGCCCCCTGTCCTCCACCCCCTCCACTGACAGCTTCCTGTTAATGAGTTTCATTCGCACAGGAGACCACAGCGAGAAATATACAGTGGGCAGCGTGCACACACAAACACACACACACACACACTGCAGGTAGCTGAGCCATGGCTGAGTGTATACAGACATGACTAATACAAGCTCACATCACCACTCCAATACTGTATGGGCAAGGCCAGCTCTAATAAGGTTAACGTTAGCCCACTGTCTGTTGAAATCTCTAGAGAACATGTTAGCAGGCAGCAAAGGACATCATAATGTTAAGAGTATGGTATCAAAGTGGAAAGGAAATGTTTACTCTTTTGGCACAGTCAACCTGATGGCGACTTGTTAGACTGAGAGTAAGTTTATCATTGTTGACATTCTGCAGTTTAGGCCGGACATTTCCAAGAGCTTGAGAGGTATCCGATCCCAGTTAGGAGTCACCAGCAGATGGCAGGTGGAGGTAATGAACTTTCCAACCAGGAAAGCATGTTTTGGAAATGTACAAGACCAATATCAACACAGCACAGCATGAGCTGAGGTCATGATGTTCATGACATGTTGGATGTTGGTTCTCTACATGTCTTGTGCATCATTTTATACATATTTCCCAGCCTGATATTTGGCATCATTGAAATGTTGAGAATGACCACCAGATTGTTCAGTTTGAACAATGTGTCTGCACAGAAACTGTCTGACCCAATGCTTTAGTTCATGTTTTTTTTTTCTACAAGAATTAGACCTACATGTTGGTGTCACTGCAGATAGCACATGAGAATCGTGCTTCGACTTCAAAGTGACTTTCAGCCTCTCTATGTGGAGCACCTACTGTATTCACTGGGTCCTTCTGGAGTCAAAGTTTAAGAGCAAGCAGTTTCAAACCATGACCCAAATCACAGGCAATCATGGTGGTTTATACACACTGAGCACATTGAGTCAGCTGGCCTACAGTCAGCTGTAGAGCTAAACTGGCTTCTGAAAAGCTAATATCCCTGAAGAAACAAGCCTTGACGATTCTCTATTTTGGATTTAGAATGTACATCTGAACTACACACAAACCCCTTCACAAAGGTGCACTAGCTCCTACTGTATATACACTATATAAATAACAGGCACTGTGTCCTTCCTTTTCAGAGAAATCAACCCATTGTATGAAATGCCACTGGACTAATAGCTGCACATAATAAGTCCCACACTCACTTCTCCTGATGCTGATCGACCGATCATCAGTTCTAAAAGCCCATTGAAACTAAATGAAATGATGAAATGTCAACATTGGCAAGTAAAAAGTAAATTTGGATAGGAAATCCTTCAGTCAATCAAATTCTAAGCTATAAAGGTTGTTTTTCCGCGATGTGCTGAAGTCTAATGTTGTCTCTCTATGAGTCTGCTTCTCTCTCAACCAGGGTTTGGACCTGCTGAGTCTCTACAAGGTGGATTATGCCTGCTGGCAAGTGCTCAAGTACTCACAGGGTGTATCAAGGGCGTAGTGCGTTCCCCCTCTTTCTTCAACACACACACACAGAGACACACACACTCTCTCTCTCTCTCACACACACATATATATGCCTATATGTGTGTGTCTCTGTGTGTGTGTCTCTGTGTGTGTGTGTGTGTGTCTCTGTGTGTGTGTGTGTCCTCAGGGGTTACAGGGAGAAGATGCGGGACTACCAGTTCAAGCGGTTGAAGTATTTCTACGCCGTAGTGGAGTGCGACTCAATCGACACGGCCGCCAAAATCTACGCCGAGTGTGACGGCTACGAGTACGAGAGCAGCTGCTCCATGCTGGACCTCCGGTAGGAGTCAACAACAACAACAACAACAACAATACAAACAAATAGTGCCTGAAGAGAATCCAGTGATTAATCCATCATTTTACTCCTCCACTGATCAGCTTCATTCCTGATGACGTGAAGTTTGACGAGGAGCCCAAAGACGTGGCGACGGATGTGAACCTCGCCGCCTACACGCCCAAACTGTTCACCTCATCGGCCACGACCACCTCGAAGGTACAGAGGTGGACGGTTACCTTACAGGAAGCTCAGCAGTTCCTCTGTGACGCTGAGTGATGAGGATTGATTAACTCTCTCAGATATTAACAGCAGCTTTATGTTTTATTGAAACTCAGCACTTGTTGTCGACTCTGGTATTTATTTATTTCCAGATTACAGAAACTACAGTTCTTCTTTATAAAGCAGATTTTATGTTTGACCTCATTAAAAGGTTTCAGTAATATTTCTATTCTCCTGTAATTAGCTTTAAGTCATGTGAGGTTAAACTAAAGAGCCGATCTCCAGTCTTTCCAGGACATTATCAATTATAGTTTATAGTTTATAGTTTATAATTTATAGTTT